GGCACTCTGTGACTGCATGATCCACTGCCGTTTGCATGATCCTGTTACCCTCCTGCTTAAATATAAAAATGTGCCACTAGGACGAATGCCACATTGCTGTAAAGTATGTCTATTTTTATTGCTCCTGCATCTGCTGTTGTGGTAATGCAGGAATATCTGTTACATTGCGCACAACAAAAATAAAGAATAAAAAACAAAACAAACAAAAACTTTTTTTTTTTTTTTAAATGGGCCTGGAACTGCAGCTCCATCAGCCTCTATGTTAATCCGGCCCTGCTTTCAGCCTATCACTGCTGCCCTCAGCAGAAGCCGGTCAGTGGGGTGGCCAGTGCACTCAGAGGAGGGACAATGTCATCAAAACAACCCAAAACACCATCATATCCTGCTACAACTAAGTAAAATAAAAATATAAAAAAATGAGCAGTTGTGAAATGGAAGATTTCCTACCTTTGAATGGCTGTCCTCTAGTACTGCTCTTCCATGTAATTGAATGCCAACTAAACAGAGACTATATGGCTTGTGAAGAAGGCCATTCTAAGGTGGGGAAGTTGCAAAAAGCCTGACACCCAAAATAAAAACCACACAAAGAAAAAAAATCCTTCTTCCCCCTCCAAGCTCCACAAAAGTTGAGCATTCAAAGTGGGAAAGGCCATATATGTTTCTCTCCTACCATAAACATTTAGTAAGAGAAGTGTGAAGGCTTGGCTTGGAAGCCAAGCAATCGCCTCGCCAAGTGTCTGGTAACATGCTGAAATCTCAGAGACCCCAGCATTAGTTGAAACAATGACAGCTGTTTACCACTATATGTAAAGATATATCCCAAACATCTTCCCTGCTGCTCTGTGCAAAGCTTTCTTTACGCTAAAAAAAAATAGATCCTCAGACACCAGCCTATGGGTCGGGGTGTAACTGACTTTTGACTTACACTCATTTTAGCTGCAGCACATCACTTAATGCCACTTATTAAACTGACACATCTCAGGACATATATTTTATTTACTGTTTCAATAAACTGACAGGTTTTTTTTGACAAGGCTATATTTTACAACTTTCAACATTTTTAAAAGGCAGCTCATGTTTAAAATGTCTGTATTCTAGAAGAGAGCATAGCCTTTCTATCGTAGAAATTCAATATGCATTCGCTATCTAAACTAATCTACTGTTTAATATTTCCCAAAAAATATGAAAAACAACATAGCTCAACAAAATAACAACAAAAAATCTGCATATTTTCTTCCAGCATGTTATATTTGTATGAATTTTATTACATAAAAAATGTACAGATCTTTCTATTTACATGACGTAAAGTCATGAATTTTATTAAAACATGGAAGCTCCTATTATGCTAGTTTAAAGCTGTGAAATTATGTCTCCTGTGAAGTGTTGAATAGGTCTAAAGTAGGAATCATGGAATGTAGACTCCGAAGACCAGCCACTCTCATAATATCCTCCAAGTGACAACCAATCGAGGAACCCTTAAAATCAATTGCCACACGAACCGAATGAGGTGCAAACACATAGGTATCAATACCCGCTAGAGACATAACGTATTTGAACCACCAGGCTAGGGTAGACACCAGAAGACGCAAATTTTGTAATGAGATGAAGAGTTCCTGTTTCAAAGGATTCCGTAACGTAGTGGAACGAAGTTCATACTTCCATAAGTATGCAACAGGGCAAAGGAGAGATCTATAAGGAAAAGCTGGATATAAAACGATTATAGAGGAGGTTTTTGTCCGCCAAGAAAGTCGAAGAGGACACCTTCTGGAGTAAAGGAACAAGCAACCACATCAAGAGCTGCAAGAAATAAATTCAAGACAATGGAGATGTCCCACAAGACAGAGTATCGTGGTAAGGGTAGATGAGCAAAACAAATGCCTCAGAGAAGTCAACATATAACAGGATGTCAACTGACAGGCATCCAATTGAAACTTTGATGACCAGCAGAAAAGGACGATTGGTAAGGTCGGTAAGGTTCACAGTGCATTAGAGAAGTCAGAAAATGGAGGACAGACATAAAAAGAGTCGATATGGGAGCCAATATGGGATCTGAATTTCATTTCATGCACCAACTAGGCTATCTGCTCCAAGCAGATTTATAAGTCTGTCTCGTGTTGGTGCCCATAAGTCGGAGAGTTGATTGTGAAACTCCCTCGACCGACCAAGGTGCCCTGAAATCAACCACAACATGAGATGCAAGAGATTTTGGAGAACAAGGGTATGAGGCAGACCGTCTGGATCCTAAAAAAGGCACTCGAGAGATGGAAGGAGATGCAGAAGGTCGATAGCCATCTCCTGAAGAGGCGGGAACTATGGTTGGGACGGCGATAGAGGAGCCACGATCAACAGGTGCCAGATTGGCGACTTAGATGGAAAAGGCAATGGGAATCAGTGCAAAGGGCAGTAAAGTGCAATTCCTTGAAAACGACCAATCTTGGGAGAAAACATTGGTTGCCAGTGCTGTCAGATCTGGTCTCCAACTGAAAAAACGGGGAAGTTGAGCATTCAAACGAGAAGTTAAAAGGTTTATTTCCAATAGACCCCATAAGTTACAGATGTCTTGGAAGACTGTGGAATCCAAGTGCCAGTCACTGGAATCTCTGAGTTGGTGTGAATACCAGTCCGCCGTAGTGTTGGAGATACCTTGAAAATATTCTGCCGTGACTGAAATGCTGTGCATCAGGCAAAATTGCTAGAAATCGTGAGCCATGTAGGTCAGAATTTTGTATTTTGTGCCTCCAGGTGATTTATGTAGTGGACAGCTGACACATTGTCCATCTTCAGAAGGATAGCGCATTGGGCTTGAGTTGGGGAGAAACTGTGGACTGCAAAGGAACCAGCCAGAAGTTCCAAACAACGGATGTGGAGTGTTGATTCCAGGTCTGACCATCTGCCCTTGGTGGAAATATTTCCGCATTGAGCGCCCCAACTGTGCAAACTTGCATCGGATTTTATTATCAAATCTGGAGCTGTAGAGAATATGGTTCGTTAATTTCAAGCTTCCATGTGAAAAAGCCACCATTGGAGTTCGTCCTTCGCTTCTGAGTCCAGAATTACCATATCCGTGTATGATGCCCTTGAGATGAAGTTTGTAATCATTAGGGCTCGAGAGCCAAGAAGACCTGGAAAAATGATGCTGCTACAAGGCCTAACATTCTCGACAGTTATTTGAGAGAGAGTTGAGAGGTTGCTAGTGTTCGCCTATCTCCTTCTTGATATTGGCTAATTTTGCCACCGGAAGGTGTAGAGTTTAAAGGGTAGAAACTACAATAATCCAATATAACCCAGAAATTTGATTTGTTGCGTGCAAACTATAATGGATATCTCCCAATTGATCAGGAAGCCTAGGTGCTCTAACGGAGTCAAAATCCATGCAATATATGTCCGCATTAATTGAATAGACTGAGCCAGAATGAAAATGCCATCTAAATATATTATGAGATGTACTCCCTGACTCCGCAGCTGGGCAACCATAGGTTTCATGAGCTTAGTGAAGCATCATGGAGCCAAAGAAAGTCCGAATGGGAGGCACCTTAACCTCAATTTCCTGCCCTACCAGGTGAACTGCAGGAAGTTCTTGATCTTGATGGAATCTTGATGTTGGACTGCGATAGGCACTGTGAGATATGCATCCTGCAGATCCAGTTTGGCCATCCAATCTGCTGGTTGGAGAAGATTCATTAAGCAATGCCCTCCTTCCATCTTGTAAGCTGATATGCCTCATAACCATTGAGCTGTCTCAAATCTATCACTGAACGGACACCTTCGCCTTTTTTGGGAACCAAGAGAAGGTTGCTCACGTAACACAGGGTATGGGCCGGAATCTCTACGATGGCTTGTTTGCACATCAGTTCTTTTATTTCCACGGAGACAAGGTCTGCGTCTCATTGGGAAAAAACAATTTCTCTCGATGGGGAACATTGAACAGGTAGAGAAAGGAAGTCTATGCAATACTCTTTCACAGTGTGAGGAACCTAAGCATCTGATGAAATGAGGGACCATACATGGTAAAAATGTGTGAGCCTGCCCCCCACTATCAGTAGGGAAGAATAGAGATTGTTGAAGACTTACCATAAGGTCTTCATCCTGAAGGAGCAACTCTTGGTCCACTAACAACCCAAGGTCGACCACGTCGTGGGAAGAAGGATGGTATAGTGCATTGTTCAAAGAAATCAGCTCGGCCAGTATAAGAGCCTTGGTTCTGTCTAAAGGAATGTCTGTTTACTCAGCCGGACAGACAGCTCCTGGCTTTTCTGGCCCCAGCAAAAACTCTAGGGTTAAATAGCTTGCACATCTTGGAATGCGCTTTATCTAGAGCAGTCAATGTGTGGATAAAGGAGCCCAATTCTTTTACAAAGTTGTCCCCGAAGAGAAAACCTTTTGCATGTGTGTCCGGCTCGTTCAGAGCCATAGTTACACATTTGGGCTGAATCTTGAGCAAGATCGATTTGCGGCATTCTGTGACAACCGTATTGTTTTGAGTTGCCAACTTAAATCACTCTCTGGATCTAACCACTTAAGATGGCACGATCTAATTCTAGATCATCCTCTACTGCTTCAAAGATCTTGGCTGCTGGGACCAAGATGTCCAGGATTTTATCCAGACAGTTTTGTAATGAAAATCTAAGCTTTTAGTAGGCTTCCATCCTGTCTTACTCAGGAATTGAATGATCTTAGGATCGACTGAGAGTTTTACAGGCGTGATCAGGGACTGTTCAGTGTGGGCATTCAGCCCGCAATTTATTTCATTTTGCCTTCTCAAAAGGCTTGCGTACTCTGGATGCAATATACTTGGGTACATGGTCTGAGGAGACCACTGGGTGACATATGTCATCAGGATCGAATAGGGGTTCATCGTGAGTGTCCAAGATCCTATTGGTGTCCTCTGAAGCAGCATGATCTACCTCAATCTTGGTATTTTTAATAGGACATGTATCTCACGCGGGATTAGCATCCTCTCCATCAGTAATTTCATAATCAGGATTAAAAGATCATCTGACTTCTCCATATAGGACTCATGGAACTCCTCCTCAACATCACTAAGCTCAGATTCAGAGTTCAATTGGGCTTTTCCCCTTTTCCAAAGTCTAGTCGATTTTGCCCGACTAGTGGCTCTTTTGCGCGGTGGTAAATTAATCGCGCCATCTGTGACAGGTATGGTACTGTCCATATCTATTGTTTTGGAGGAGTGTTTAGCCTTATATGAGGCCTTGCGGCCAGGCTGAAGCAGAGCAGGTATGAGTACAGGTACTGCCACCTGAATAGTCGGCTGAGGCGATCTCTGTGCGATCTCTGTGCCTGTAACAGGGTCTAGGCAAATATCTGTGAAAAGTGAATCAGACATAACCTCCATCACTGACACCAGGGCCTTTGTCGTTGCTTTTGCCATGGAAGTGTCAATTAAAGCCTGCATATCAGCAGGATCAGTAAAATCAGCGATACCTGGAGAGGCTTCTAAAGTAATCTGCATGTTTGCTGTAGTCCCAGAAGGCACCGAAAGATCCTGTCAGACTGCATCATAAATATACAGACAAACCTAAGAGAATGAATAAAGTAAAATGATACCTAAAGGAAAGGGTTGAGTAACCCTCAAGTAAAAAATAAATAAATAAACAGGGTAAAGAAATTAAAGTACTCACAATAGTGAAAAAATAGCAATGGTAGTAGGAAAACTTAGATTTCTGTCAGTTGGGATCAGAGCAGTGGCCAGACAGATGAATGAAGGGAAAAAACAGCACAATAGCACTGTGCAGGAGATAAAGATCCTTAAAGACGTCCCTGAGCCCCGATTGATGGTAATCTTGAGGACAGGGAGGACAGAGGGGAAAGAAATTATCAAAGGATATACAATAAAGCATATAACTGATGCAAATAAATCAAATTAAGTTAAAGTGAAGTAACTAAATATATTTATAAATTTGAAAATATTACAATTTAAGTGCTATAGCAAACCTATTCACATAAATCTTGCATGACAAACGTAAATAAACAAACGTAAATAATTCTGGGTTAACCCCTTAAGGACTGAGCCAAATGTACACGTTGTGAACGAAACAAAGTGAACGAAACAAAATGTAAACAAAACCTGGTATTTGCGCTACATGTCTGTCCAACCGTAATTCACCTCTTTCATATTAAATGCACCCACCCTTATTATATATCATTTTATTCAGGGGAAACAGGGCTTTCATTTAATATCAAATATTTAGCTATGAAACATAATTTAATTTGAAAACAATGGGAGAAAATAAGATTTTTTTAAAAATTTTTAGTTCTACATGACATTTTAACTGTCAATGTCATAATATTGTTTGCTTTTACTGCAATAAAATACACATATTTGTATTCAGCAAAGTCTCACGTGTAAAACAGTACCCCCTATGTACAGGTTTTATGGTGTTTTGGGAAGTTACAGGGTCAAATATAGCACGTTACATTTGAAATTGAAATTCGCCAGATTGGTTACATTGCCTTTGGGACTTTATAGCCCAGGAATGAAATTTACACCCATAATGGCATACCATTTGCAATAGTAGACAACCCAAGGTATTGCAAATGGGGTATGTCCAGTCTTTTTTAGTAGGCATTTGGTCACAAACACTGGCCAAAGTTAGCGTTAGTATTTGTTTGTGTGTGAAAAATGCAAAAAACGCCAATTTTGGCCAGTGTTTGTGACCACGGCCGGACTGGGAAGAAAATTCGGCCTGGGCATTTTTTAATTACAGCGGCCCACTACAAAGGGGGCGGGGCCAGATAGGGTGTGTTTTGTCATCACCAATGACAAGCACGCCCCATCACAAAGTGAGCATGTTGGTTCAATGCTCTTCCAGGGTAGACCATGCGCAGAGCTCTGCTGAAGAGCTCTGGCATGAGAAAAAGACCCTGTATTTGTTCTGCACAGCGCAAGCAAATCCAAACATACTTGCACTGTGTTTGCTTGAAAATGCTAGGAAAGCATATTGTGCAGTGTGAGGGTGCTGTGTGTGTGTGTGTAAGGGGTGTAGTGTGTGTGCGAGAGGGGTGCAGTGTGTGTGAGGTGTGTAGTGTGTGAGTGATGGGTGCTGTGTTTGCGTGAGGGTGCTATGTGCATGTGAGGAAGCTGTGTGTGTCAGGGGTGCAGTGTGTGTGTGGGTGCTGTAAGTGTTAGGGGTGCAGTGTGTGTCAGGGGTGCAGTGAATGTGTGCTGTGCATGTCAGGGGTGCAGTGTGTGTGTGTGTGTGTGAGGGTGCTGTAAGTGTTAGGGGTGCAGTGTGTGTGTGCTGTGAGTGTCAGTGTGCAGTGTGTGTGTGTGTGTGTGCTGTGAGTGTGTGTGTGTGTGTGCTGTGAGTGTCAGGGGTGCAGTGTGTGTTAGTGTGCTAGTGTGTGAGTGAGGGTGCTGTGAGTGTGTCAGGGGGTTAGTTTATGTGAGTGTGTGAGTGAGGGTGCTGTGAGTGTGTCAGGGTGCAGTGTGTGTGTGTGTGAGGTGCTATAAGTGTTAGAAGTTGCAGTGTGTGTGTGTGTGTGTGCTGTAAGTGTTAGGGGTGCAGTGTGTGTGTGCTGTGAGTGTCAGGGATGCAGTGTGTGTGTGAGGTGCTGTAAGTGTTAGAGGGTGCAGTGTGTGTGTGTGTGTGAGGTGATGGTGCTGTAAGTGTTCGGGGTGCAGTGTGTGTGTGCTGTGAGTGTCAGGGGGTGCGAGGTGTGTGGTATTGTGAGGGTGCTGTAAGTGTTAGGGGTGCAGTGTGTGTGTGCTGTGAGTGTCAGGGGTGCAGTGTGTGTGTGTGTGCTGTGAGTGTGTGTGAGTGTCAGGGTGCACTGTGGTAAGGGTGCTGTGAGTGTCCAGGGGTGCAGTGTGTGTGTGTGTGTGAGGGTGCTGTGAGTGTCAGGGGGTGCAGTGTGTGTGTGTGAGTGAGGTGCTGTGAGTGTCAGGGGTGCAGTGTGTGTGAGTGAGGGTGCTGTGTGAGTGTCAGGGGTGCAGTGTGTGAGTGAGGGTGCTGTTAGTGTCAGAGGGTGCAGTGTGTGTGTGAGTGAGGTGCTGTGAGTGTTGAGTGGTGCAGTGTGTGTGAGTGGTGCTGTGAGTTTCAGAGGGGTGCAGTGTGTGTGTGATGTAGAGGTGCTGTGAGTGTTAGGGGTGCAGTGTGTGTGTGTGTGTGTGCTGTGAGTGTTAGGGGTGCAGTGTATGTGTGTGTGTGTGTGTGTGTGCTGTGAGTGTCAGGGGTGCAGTGTGTGTGTGAGTGAGGTGCTGTGAGTGTTAGGGGGTGCAGTGTGTGTGTGTGTGTGTGTGCTGTGAGTGTTAGGGGTGCAGTGTATGTGTGTGTGTGTGTGTGTGTGCTGTGAGTGTTAGGGGTGCAGTGTGTGTGTGTGTGTGTGCTGTGAGTGGTAGGGGTGCAGTGTGTGTGTGTGTGTGCTGTGAGTGTTAGGGGTGCAGTGTGTGTGTGTGTGTGCTGTGAGTGTTAGGGGTGCAGTGTGTGTGCGTGTGTGTGCTGTGAGTGTTAGGGGTGCAGGATATCTGTGAATGAGGCTGCTGTGATTATACCTGAGTGAATATTTCCCCCCTCCCTGCTTATCTTTAGCCTGGGAGGGGGGATCCTGCTGCTGGGGCTGCCATCCATCCCTGGTGGTCCTAGTGGTGAGTGAACTCTAGCCTGTGAGGTACCCGGCGGAGCTGTAAGTTAAAGCTCCGCCGGGTTCCTCTGCTGGCAGGCTGGCTCCCTCCCTCTCTCCCCGGCGGCGGCCGCAGTATACTCTATGTGGGCCGGTGAGGGAGATCTCTGATCTCCCCACCGGCCCGCTGTAGACTGCTGCAGGGCCGGCGTTCAGATAGTGCCGGCCCTGCAAAGACCAGCAGGAGAGATCCTGAGACCTCCCCTGCCGGCCTCGGCCCATGGCCCGATGGCCTATGTGCCCGATGGCCAGTCCGGGCCTGTTTGTGACTACTAAAAAAGACTGGACATATCCCGTTTGCAATTCCTTGGGTTGTCTACTATTGCAAATGGTATGCCATCATAGGGGTAATTTTCATTCTTGGGCTACCATAGGGTCTCAAAGGCAACGTAACCACTCTGGCGAATTTTAATGTGAAAAAAATGAAACACAGGCCTTATATTTGACGCTGTAACTTTTGAAAACAACATAAAACCTGTATATGAAGGGTACTGTTGTACTCGGGAGACTTCGCTGAACACAAATATTAGTGTTTTAAAACAGTAAAAAGTATCGCAGCAATAATATCGTCCGTGTAAGTGCTGTTTGTGCTTGAAAAATGCAAAAAAATTCACTTTTACTGGCGATATCATCGTTGCAATACATTTTACTGTTTTGAAACACTAATATTTGTGTTCAGCGAAGTCTCCCGAGTAGAACAGTACTCCCCATGTACAGGTTTTATGGTGTTATAGGGTTAAGTATAGTGCTAGCAAATTAAATTCCCTTTACTTTCGGCATGGGTTGTCAGGCAGGTCCCGCTAATTGTAATTAATTAAGATACCTAATTATGTAAAAATATTACATAAATATATATGTAGCATTAATATATGTATACATATACGTATGTGAATATATATGTGTATTTATATATATAATTTTTTACAAATATTTTTATTTATATATAGGTATATATATAGTGATATATAAGTATATATTTATGTATATAGATATATATATTATTTCGTTCTACGTGTATTTTGATATAAATATATATATATTAATATCACAATACAGTTAGAACGAAATAACACACATCTATATATTTTTTAATTATATTTTTAATTTTTTTATTTTATTTTTTAAAGTATTTACATATTTAATTTTTTATATTATATATAAATATATATAACAACAATTATATATATATTTAATCAATATCAGTCTACGTGTAATTTGATATTAATATATATATATAATTATATGTATATTAATAGAAAAATACACCTAGACAGTGTATGTGTGTGTATGTATATGTGAATATATATATATACTTAGATCATATATATACAATATATATATATGATCTAAGTATATATATATTTTTTTACACTTTTTAACTTTAATTAAATTTTATTTCCAGCCAGCAGGGGGACTAACTGTCATTACAGGCAGTCCCCCTGCTGGCAATGCAGCAGGCAGCTAACCCGGCCATGTGATTGTGAGGTCCTCGCAAGGACCTCACTCTCACATGGCTGGGGGGGCTGCCAGGAGGAAGATCTGCTGCGGGGGGGCTCCCTGGGAGTCCCCCCAACCGCGATCGCCGGTGTGGGACCGCCACCGACCGGGTAAGTAATGAAAGACCGGAGGGCGTACTATT